GTGAGTGGTGGTTATAGAGATGTAGATTTCTACTTCATATAAGGAAAAACTTCCTAACAATAAGATAGATAAGGTTGTCTTGGGAGCTAGTAGGGTTCCTGTCAGTTGAGGTCTTCAAATAATGGCTGGATGATTATTTATTGGTAAGCTAATTTAGGGGATTCTTCAGCAAATATAGATTCAACTAGATGACCTATGATGTCCTTTCCAGCTCTGAGATTCTATGATATTGTGCTGGTGAAATGGGGAGGGTGGGGTGAAATTTAAAATAGTTGATCTGTAATGTTCTTCCAAAGTATAATTCTGTGATTATTACTAACAATAATTTAAGGTATAAGATATTATGTATCATATCTTATGATATACTATATTTAAGATGTAAGATATTATGTATCATATCTTACACAGGTAATATGTATAATATATGATCAGCTACATACAGCTAGGAATAGGATACAAAGAATAGGACAATGGACAGGTTAGTTTTGCTAGAGCAGAGGATTTATGTGTTATACAGGCATCCCTCGACATTCGAGGGATTAGGGGTTCAGGACCAGGAAGAATGAGAAAAAACATAAATAACTCTAGACCCTGCCCCCTAAATTAATTTTTAATAATTCTGTTCATATTTATGTAACACACAAAACAAGTAAAGTAAACAATACACTGCGCCCAGAAAAAATTGCAGTTTCTACTCAAGAGAGATTAGTGTCACACATTTTGCAGAGTCTTTGCAGCTACAGGTGTAGCTGCAACAACTGCTTCATTTATTTCCTTTTCCTATGAAAATGCAAAATACAATGAACACTTCTGGAGAAAATCATGTGACTGAGTTTGGATGGTGGAGAGACAAAGAGGAGGCTTTCCCAAAGAATAGCCTATCTTTTTTAGTGCACTGAAACTTTTAACAAAATTTAATTGTTTATAATAAATTTATTTATGTATACTTATGGTAGTAAATTAGAAAATATATTAATAATGTATAGCATATATGCATTTATGACTTACCAAAATATTTTTAGTTTTCTTTACACACACACCTCATCTGTAGTTTTCTGTAGTACTCCACAAATTTCCAAAAATTCCCATTTAATTATTGATGGCCAAGCCATGAATAACCAAAACCAGGAATGTGAAATCCACAAATGTGGAGGGATAACTGTGTATTTATAGAAGAGGAGATAAAGATAAGCTTAGAGAGCTTTAGTAACTTCAAATATTTGACCTTCATTATCATCTAGTCAATGAGTATTTAGGGCAAGGTGGCTCAGCAAATAGAGTGCCAGGCCTGGAGTCAGGAAGACTCATCTTCCCAAGTTCAAATCTGGCCTCAGACACTTATTAGCTATGTGACCCTGAGCAAGTCACCTAACTCTGGTTGCCTCAGTTTCCTCATCTGTAAAATGAGCTGGAGAAGGAAATGGCAAACTACTCTAGTATCTTTGCCAAAAACAAAACAAAACAAAACTCCAAATGGGGTCATGAAGAGTCAGACACAAATGAAAAATTAAACATGTCCCTAGTATTGTGAGATATACATAAGTGGAAAGCATGACCTCAGTTGTTAAATTATGTTATGATTTAATTGAAGAGACAAAACAAACAACATGACACAATAGAAAACAAGTATTAAACTATGTGGCGCTAAGTGAATTTTATAATTTTAGAGATAGGAGAAATCAGTGTGGATGGGAGTAATTTGCATTTATATTCTAAGGTTCATTGGAATCTGAAGGGCTTTGGATGCTAACATGAAGATTTTATTTTAGCTTAGAGATAATAGGGAACCACAGAAGCTTTTTGAGCAGGACAGTGAAATGATAAAACTTAGTTTTAGGAACATTATTTTGTCAGCTGTGAGGAGAATGGATTGGAGAGAACAAACACTGGAAGTTGGGGGTATATTTAAGAGGCTATTGCAGCAGTCTGAGCAAGAAATAATAAGGACTGCATTAGGGTGAGTAGAGAGAGAGGGGAATGGATGCAAGTGATGTCAGGGTAGAATCAATAAGCTTAGCAATTGACAAGATATGAGGGATGAAGGAGAGGGAAGAGTCCAAGGCTTCAGACATGATTTACTGGAAGGATGGTGGTGTCCTCAGCAGAAATAAGGAAGTATGTATAAGAGATGAAACAGGAGGGAGGGAGGGAGGGTTAGAGGGAAGGTAATGAAGTACATTTTGGACATGTCTGCGAGAACTCAGGGATGTGGAGCAGGCATTTGGAGAAGATGTAGGTCTGGAGCTAAGGAGAGAGATGAGGTCTGCATTAGACTTGGGAGTCATCTGTTTTGATATGATAGCTGAATCTATGGGATCTAATGAAATCACTGAGAGAGAGCCTGTAGAAAGAGATTAGAAGGGGATGCAGGAGAGACTCAGAGTTAGAAGGCAGTATATACATGACAATACAAGTAGCAAAGAAGGCCAAAAAAGAGCAATCAGACCAATAAGAGGAGAACCAAGAGAGCCGTCACCTAATAAAATGTCTCTGGTGAATGTGTCAAAATCATATGAGAATCTCCAAAGAGATATAACAACAGAAGTCATGTTGCTGACCTTCTGGTTGTTCATATCAAAGTGAGGCATAAAAGAGGGAGATGTATATTTTCCAAAGTGTTGGGGCTGATATGAAAGATGTCCAGTGCAGAATTTAAATCAAAGAAGGAATTCCATATAGAGAGGGAGGTCCTCTACATGCTGTTATTTATGAACAATATTGTGCTGATTGTATCAAACCCTAAACACGTTTCAGATCTCCTAATCATTTCTTGATTTTGTTTGGGGGGTGGGGTGAGGCAGTTGGGGCTAAGTGACTTGTCCGGGGTCACACAGCTAGTAAGTGTCAAGTATCTGGTCTGAGACCAAATATAAACTCAGGTCCTCCTGACTCCAGGGCTGTTACTCTATCAGCTGCGCCACCTAACTGCCCCCTTATTTCTTGATTCTTAACCATTTAAAATACTTCAGCCTTACTCTACACTCCAGAAAAAATGGATGAAAAGTGCCTGTTATCCATGTTACAATGTGCAATTTGATGAATAACACATAGTTGTTGTTCATTCATACATACCTATATATATATGTGTGTGTGTGTGTGTGTGTGTGTGTGTGTGTGTGTGTGTGTGTGTGTGTGTGTGTGTGTATATATATATATCAGAATAATTTGCATTTATATTCCAAGGTTCACTGGAATCTGAAGGGCTTCAGATGCTAACCTGAAGATTTCAGTTTAGCTTAGAGATAATAGGGAACCACAGAAGCTTTGTGAGCAGGACAGTAAAATGTCTTGAAAAATATTGCTAATGGACAGTGAGTTGGGCCTGTGATTTCACAGGAGTAAGAGATCAGGCTGCCCACCCTCTCTCCTTGGTCCCTGATGAAATGGGCCAGGATCCTCAAAGAGCCTTAGGAACAGCAGTGTTTACCAGACCTGCTTCAAGCCCAGCCCCACAGCTATCATTGAGGGGAGAAATGAGAGTGGAGAAGGGGTCTGCCTTCATCATCACCAGGAATAATTCCTGACCAACTGCCACCAACCAGTTCTCAAAGCCATTATCCAGGGAAGCAGCTCCTATGCAGAGGGGCCCAGCCATCCCTACCAAATGCCAATCAGCTACCAAGCATGTAGTAGGCAAGCCAGCCTAGCTGAAGCAGCAGAGCACGCTGAGGAAAACGTGGGAGGCAGCATATGCCAGGCAAGTCAAACACCACCCTGACCATCATCTCTCTTCAGATTGCAATGGGGACAGAGCAGGACCCTGAACCTAGCAGCCTTGGGAATAGGAATGCTTCCAGCCCTGGGCCCAGAGTCAGCCTCCTGGGAAAACAACCCTCATGGAGGTGCAACCTGGCAACCACTCCTGCTGGTGCCACAGCTGCAGCTACTGAAGATCTGGAAAAGACAGCTCTTGCTTGCCAAGTCCTTGGCTGTCAAATGGTTCAACATAAGAAACTAATATGATTTTATCAGTGGAAATGAAGCTAAGGAAGAAGCATTACCATCTGCTTTGCCACTATACCCTCAGGACCTTTGAATCTGACTTACAGCTGAAACCTTCCATATGTGTCATTTTCCATGTTTGAATGTCAGCATTTATTAAGGGCCTACCGTGTGCCGAGAACCATGCTAACTGCTTTATAAACGTTATCTCATTCTGTACTAACAATAGTCCTATGAGGTAGGTGCTGTTATTATCCCCACTTTACAGCTGAGAAAATGGAGGCAGGAGGAGATTAAGGGCCTTGCTTAGGGTCACACAGAACATGTCTGTGGCCAGATTTTAACTCAGATCTTCCAGACTCCAGGCCCAGTGCTTTATCTATTGGGCCACCTAGTGGTCTTGCTCTTAGTGGCGAATGTATCTTCTGTACGTAGCATATTGCTTTGCATGTAGTAAACACTGAACAAATGCTTCATTCATTCATTCACTCATTCATGCATTCATTCATCCCAGAGCTAGTGTTCTTCCCTTTGTACTGTGCAGCCTCTTCATGTTTGCCTGTATGAGAAGAATTCTGCATTATTTCTCATATGGGATCATTTTATAGGGTGTGTTACCTATGTCTTTACCTGCTCAGACCAACCTGCTGAAAATGACAAATTCTTGGTTCTACTTTTAGACTCCAAACTATTCTTTTAAGTAATCAGGTGCTATTTACTCTTGGACTCCTTTCATATTTATTTAATATTAAAACTGAAATTTAAGGTAACTTGTTCGTGTAGAAAAATTTCATTAGGAGTAAAGTATTTTTCTTTTGCTAAAAGCAAAATTAGTCAGTTATCATTCTTACAAACCTTAGCAGGGTACGGAGTAATGGCATTGGAAAAGAGCTCCTTTTCTCTTTCTAATCTCTAATTGAATAAGCTTTCAAGCAACTGAGTATTAAAATATTTGGCTTCTGTGAACTTTTTTTTTTTGCCTGGAATCACTTTCTCTATGAAAACAGGTAGTCTATAGAACATCTTAATAAAACCTACATCTGTATATTGTTTCCTAGTACATCCACTCTGGCAAAGCTTGGACATAGTACCTGAAGGTGATCGACAATCACCGATCAATATCCGATGGAGAGATAGTGTTTATGATCCTTGCCTGAAGCCCTTAAAAATTTGTTATGATCCAAATACATGTCTTCATATCTGGAATAATGGGTATTCTTTCCTAGTAGAATTTGAGGATTCTACAGATAAATCCGGTAAGAGAACAATATTTAATGCTTCTAATCTGACTCAATGCTAATATCTCTGTTGTTTTGCTTACTTTTGTATAATAAAATTGTATATGAATAATCTGACCCAGGGGTGGGGAACCTGCAGCCTCAAGGCCACACATGGCTTTCTAGGTCCTTGGGTGTGGCCTACAGAACAAATCTTTTTTTAAGGGGATTTGTTCTGTGAAGTTAGGATTCAGTTAAAGGGCCACACTTGAGGACTTAGAGGGCCACATGTGACCTTGAGGCCCCAGGTTCCTCACCCCTGATCTGACCTATTTTGAATTTAAGAAAAAAAATTCCCTCCTTTGGGTATCATGTAGAACCTTTTATGCTTTTAATAAAATATGTAGTATTTTCAATTAGTAAATGCATCTTTAGATAATATATGTATTTTGTTTGAATACTTGCTTTAAAGGAGTTTATAAGAGTTTTAAGTTTTCCCTGCTATTTTTGTTAATAAATGATTATTTTCCTCTGTATGCTATACTTAGTTAAAAAATATAATTTTTTAAATATAAAATTTAAAGTTTATACAAGTTTAATATATATTTAATATATAATAAATATAAAATTTAAAGTTTATAAAAGTTTTAAAATAATTTTAGGTTAAATATTAACTGGCTTTTAAAATTTTATCAGTATTAACTGATAAGAGTTAAGTACATTTGCAATAAGACAAGGTGTGCAAGGTGTTATGTTTCTTAATAGCTACTTAGAAGTAGTTACATACTGGAAAATTAGGTTTTTATCATTTTTTAACAATATTAAGCAAATATAATTATCTGTTTTAAAAAAGAAATAGAAATTCTCTGAATTGAAAGTTTAAGATAACCAACAGTTTGTAATTGTTCTCCTCCTTGCAGCCAAGCAGGATATGAATCTAATTATGAGATATTTTTACAGTTGGATCAAAAAGCTTTGTGATTCTGGAATTTAGGTTATAACTGAATTCTAAATAGGTTTCTTGTCTCCTACTCATGACTGAGTTTAATTCAAGTAAACAATTTTAATTAGTGTGAAGCAAGTATGTGGGGAAAAATGATCAAAAGGAAATGGAGTTCTCATTAATGAACAGGGGAAAACAATTTAAGGAATGGTTTAAAAAACTCCTAAAAGTGCATGAGCAGCAATGAAGACTATTGTATTTGTATTTATTATAAAACTCTAGACTTTGTGTCCTCCATATATTCCTAATACAACCCTGAAACTATGAACCTGAACACATAGTCCAGATCCAAAGATGGTCCCTAAAATATAAAGATTTCCTTTCTTTCTCCTTTATTCTGTACATTTTTCTGTTTGATAAAGTGGAAGTAGCTATCTTAAATCACTTATATCTGCCTATCTCTCTTCAGACATTGCCTCCCACTTTTTATTATCTTGTCTAATTATCCAAAAGTCTGAAAACCTGCCCCCACTGATTCTCGATTCTTCAGTGCTGGCTGGATTATCTGTATTACTGTAATGACCTATTCTAACTCCCAAACTGTCTTTAGACAAATGAACCAAATCCTTCTGCTCTAGATTACCCACTTTGCTTATGTCCACCCTGAAACCTAATCATCATTCTTTCCTGATGTAAACCACAACATTAATTTGCCTTCTCTTTTCTCATGCTCTTCCCTGGTTCTACAAATGTGAATACATCTTTAATCCTTCTCACTTTTAACCTTATATATTTTCAACCTGAGCAGAATAAGTTCTGTTCAATCTTGTTTATTAGAATCAACTCAAAGTGAATTAAATAATTTTGCCTGTTATGTTTTAGTCATCAGATTAATCAATAGTTTTAAAGATTTAGATTAATAACCTAATTCTTAAACTTCTACCAGGGATAATCAGGGAAGATTTTTCATGGAGGTCATGCCTTAACTAGGTCTTTAAGGAAGAGAAGTATTTCTTTTTTTCTGACATTATTTATAGCCTTTGTTTTTTATATCACTTTCATTTCCAAATGTATCCTTTCCCCCTCCCTTGCACATAGAACCTTCTCTTGTAACTTAGAATAAAAAAAAAAGAAAAAAACAATTCTTCAAAACAATGCAACACTTCAGGCGTTTCTGACATAGGCCATGTTCTGTGCCTGCCATCCCCCACCTCCACAAAGAAGAAAGAAAGGTACAGTTTGTCATTTGGAAGATAAGTTGTTTTTTTTTTTTAAACAGGCAGAGATATGAAGGGAGGATTCCATTTCAGAAATGAGGGATTAACTGAACAAATGGAGACCAAAGACCAGTGATATGGGATAATATCTAGCAGTTGGTTTGACTAGAATATACTGCAGAATGTGTAAAGGGAGAGTGTAAATGTGAAATTAGGGCCAAAAGGTGAATTGGAGCCAGATCATGCCAAGTCTTGAGGCCAGAATAAAGACTTTGCATTTTATCTTGAAGACAATGAGGAGCCACTGATGAGCCATGTAAATAATATGATTAGATCTAGAAGATTACTTTTAGCTGTGTAAAGATTGGACTGGAGAGGAGAGAGATCAGAGTTAGAACAACCAATTAAGAGGCAATTATAATAGTCAAATGAGAGGTTAATGAGACTGTAATCATTGGGAAAGAAAAGAAGAGGAAGAGTGCAGGATACATTGCCAAAGTTTAAGTGATAGTATTTGGTGACTTTTTTTTTGTTTGTTTTGTTTTGTTTGTTTGTCTGATGAAGGGGCAGGGTTAAAGAGAGGGAAAAGTCAAAGATAATCCTGAGGTTTCAAATTTGTGTGAGAGGGAGGATAGTAGTGCAGTCAATAGATAATGTTATGGACATGTTGAATTTAAGAAGTCAGTGAGATATGCAGGTGTAGATATCCAGCAATCATTTGGAAATGCCAGTCTGGCATTCAAGGGAGAGAGCAGAGCTGTATATGTATGGGTCACCTGCAGAGATACAATAAATGGAATCATGAGAACAGATGCAGCAACCAAGCAAAAAACTGTAGAAAGGGAGCAGCTAGGTGGCTCAGTGGATAAAGCACCAGCCCTGGATTCAGGAGGACCTAAGTTCAAATCCTGCCTCAGACACATAACACTTAACTATCTGTGTGACCCTGGGCAAGTCACTTAACCCCATTGCCTAACCTCCCCCCCAAAAAAAAAGCTGTAGAAAGAAGGAAGAGATCTGAGGGCTGAACATCAGTGACCCACTCTTTGGAGGCTGGAGAAAGAAGAAAGAATGAGCAGTCGTACTCTTAGGAAGAGAGCCAAGAGGGAACAATGGAAACAGATCGAGGAGAAAATATCTAAGAGGGAGGAATAGTAAACAATGTCATTCTACAGAAAGGTAAAGGATGATGAAGACTGAGGAGAAAAAAGTAGATTTTTTTTAAAGTAGCTTTTAAGACGTCATTGCCATCTTGGAAAGAACAGGTTGAAGGATAAAGGAGAGGAGAATGGTGAGAAGATAGATAGCTTGAGTGAGGACTAGGACCAAGGAGGGATATTATTTTAGTGAAGACCTGAGCATGTTTCTTGGCAGACCACAAGAAACCAACAGAGGAGAGATTGAAGACAAGAGAGGATATATGAAGCAGACATAGAGAAGGCTCATTTTATAGTGTAATTTTTAATCGCTGGTAAATGTGGCAGAGCAGTATAAAGTAATTCCACTTTTAGCTGACTGACGAGTTTTGGGTTGCTTTTTTTTTTCCTTTTAAAATTAGGTTTTGGTTTTGGTATTGAGCGCACCCTCTAGTGGACCTCTCCAAACTCCACTTGTAGATTGGGTCGCTAGGGAGGCCTCCAGAAATACAAGTCCCCAGTGGCCTTTCTTTCCTTGTGTTTTCATAATGCTTCCACAAGGTATACCATTTCTGCTGGACAGGTCACTTGGGTCCAACTCCTGGTGGTTAGGGCTGGTACTCTTTTTGAGTCACAGAGCCAGTCTCTCTCCTCAGAACTCTTTTGCCTTGTAGGCCTGCTCTCTGTTGGGGGTAGTGGCTCCTACTGGGAGAGTGTGCCATGGCCAAAGTTGGAGGGGGGGAGAGAGAGAGAGATTCCCAAACCCCCTCTTCCTGAATAGTGTGAAGAACTTCCTCTCAAGGGCTAGGGACTTTTTCTGCAGCTAGGTCTCCTCTCTATTTCCAGGGGTCACAGTCTGTCTCCTATCTCGGCTGCCTCTTTAGATAGCATGTCTTGATTTTTAAGGGGCAACAAGAGGTAGGGCCAATCTTTATCCAGCCAATGGTTGGCTACTTTCTAAATTTTCTCATCTTGTAAAGGAGTAGCAAAATGTAAGCCTTTTTCAAAAATGCTTGAAAACCTTAATAACTCCTTGTTTCTATTGCCGATCCCTTACTTTCTGTTATTGCATTAGTGAGGCTGAGGGAAATCAATTTAGCAAAGGTAGCCTGATGAACTCCCTGCACCCTACTGCAAGTGTACAAAACATAAAGATTTTGAGTACTTTCAAACTCAATTATATGATGATGGATTTGATTTAATGCAATAGATATACCTTTTTGGCTAAAAGATTTAAATTGTATACTTTGCATTTTTCTTGGTGTAATTTAAAGTAGATGTAGATTCTTAGTGAAGTTTTTCTTTTGGTGGGGGCAGTATAGATCTTGTGATAAAATAGTTCTGGTTTAAGAGGCGGCTTGATGGTTAGAGCACTGTGGAATCAGGAAAACCTGAGTTCAAATCCATCCTCAGATACTTATTAGCTGTGTGACCCTGGGAAAGCCACTTATCTGCTGTCTGCCTCAGTTTCCTTATATTTAAAATGGGGATAAAATAGCATCTATCTTCTAGGTTGTTGTGAGGATGAAGTAAAATAATATCTATAAAGTGCTTTGCAAAGCTTAAAGTGATATATAAATACTAGCTATTACTATTGTGGGTTTATTATTGTCTCTTGCTTTTGAGTCACCCTCTATATTAGAATGCTAATGCAAGGAATTTGTCAGAATCATGTTTAAAAGCCTATCTGTTCTGATGTTATTTATCCAGTTTAAAAGAAATTAATTCTTTTGGCTTTACAAT